AAACCCCAAACCCCAAACCCCAAACCCCAAACCCCACACCCCAAACCCCACACCCAAACCCCAAACCCCAAACCCCAAATCCCAAACCCTAAACCCTGAACCCTAACCCCAAACCCTGAACCCCAAACCCCAAACCCCAAACCCCAAACCCCACACCCCAAACCCCGCACCCAAATCCCAAACCCCAAACCCCAAATCCCAAATCCAACCACTCCGATCACCCCCTTAAGCCCTAAACCCGAAGCCTTAAACCCTAATGTAGAGGCCTTAATAATCAGAATAGGGTTTTGGGGCCTATTATACTATAATTATCATAAGCAAGCCTCAAACTAGTCTTGGTAGTTGTTAAGGCCCCTATACTAAACCCTAAACCCTGCAGCACCAAGTTCAAGTCTCGCCCTAAACCCTAAACCCTAAACCCTAAACCGTCGCCTCCAGCGGATGCCGCTGAACGTCGATGGACCGGGGACCCTCAAGCCGCACGTCGTGCTTACCTCAGCTTCGGAGCAGGGTTTAGGGTTTAGGGTTTAGGGTTTGGGGTTTAAAGGTTTAGGGCATAGATATACTAATAGTAGCAGCTATAGCAAGAGTAATGGTAACTACCGGTAGTAGTAATAGGAGTAGCATCTATTCAAGTAACAGTAGCAGGAAAAGCAAGAACAACAATAGTTACAATCATAATAACAATAATAGTAATGACCATCAAAAGAATAAGTTCAGAAATATTACTTGTAATAGCAACAACAGCAGTAATAATCGTAATTGTCATAACAACAGGAAGAAAAACAATTAAAATTACTCATGATGGGAATAGCAGCGGCAATTATGCGGTAATTGTAATTGTAACAACTAGTAACAGTGTTGTGGGATCCTGGCCCTCATTCATACACCCTAAACCGTAAACCCCTAAACTCCTGAACCCTTAAACCCTCAACCCCTAAACCCTTAAACCCGTAAACCCTAAATTCATACGACAGCATCCGACGATGTGGGTTTACGGGCAAGGGGCGGCGGCTTGAGGCTTCAGCGTTCAAGTTTTCGGGGTTTAAAGTTTATAGGAGTTTGGGGCTTAGGGTTTAGGGGTGTAGGGGTGGGACGGTGAGCTGTCCTTGGACCAAGTGCCTTTCCAGTGCCTTGTCTTGCAATTCCTCCCGCCACCTTTGAGGTAGCCGCGTGGAATAATTGAGCTGAGCTCCACCCCCCAAGCCTCAAATTGAAGCATCTCACCCTAAACCAAACTCATCTTGAAACCCCCCATGACAACAACAAAATCAAAACTCAACCCCTGCAGAAAATGAAAACACCATAAACTCATATTCAAACCCCTAAACCCCAAACCCAAAAACCCTGAAACCCTAAAACCCTAACCCTAAACCTTAAACCCCAAACCCCAAACCCTAAAACCCTAAACCCTAAACCCTAAACCCTGAAACCCTACAACCCTAATACAAAAATAATAGTCTCGGGTCCCGGCCAGCAGGATACTGCTGCGTCCACCCAGTCGGCGCCTTGCCATCCTGGCTTCAAAGGGCCAGCAGCAGTTGAGGGGGGTTTAGGGTTTAGGGTTCAGGGTTTCGGGTTTCGGGTTTAGGGTTTAGGGTTTAGGGTCTAGGCTTAGGGCTTCAGGGGTTAGGGATCTGAGGCTCAGAATCTGAGGGCTACTATCAGAGTGACCATAAGGATACTGTGAGGACTGCTTTTAGGGGTCTGAAAGTTTGGGGCTGAGGGGTTGGAACTCAGGGCTCTGAGGGTGTAGGCTGCCTCGAGTCGGCATGTAAGGTGCAGAGTTTCCAAGGTTAAGACCAGGTCGCAACCTGGTTTTCTTCGTCCTTGATCGCGGTCACCTAAGCATTGAAGATGATCCGACGATTGGCCATGTTCGCTATGCCTTTCTGGGCCGTAGTCACATGGTGAAAATGGCCTCCGCTCCGTATTGTGTCGAAGGCGGTGGTCCTCATGTCTTGAGCTGGCTGCTTAATCTCTTTGAGCTCCGCATAAAGGCCTTGATTGCCTTTTCTGCCGCACCAGCCTAGCTCGACAACGCCACTGGGCTGATCAACTTAAATTTGCATAGCTTCAACCATTGGAGGCTTAGGGCTTCGGGTCCGACACTCGAAATACTCGAACCATCCCCGCCCCTCACTTTTGCCCATTCTAGGTTTCGGGCCCTTGTGTGGCTCAGGCCACCAAGTTGCCCTACGCGTTGCTATGGGGACTTACAACTCATGTCGCCCATGTGAGGAGGAATCTTGACCCCAGACCCCAAAAAAACGCGAAACCCGAAGACGCCGAGCTCCAGCATCCCACAGTCCCATTCCTACTGAAGCCCTATCCTCCTACTCTAAAAGACCCTGTCCTCATGTCAGAATCCTAAACCCTAAACCCTAAACCCCAAACCTCACACCCAAACCCCAAACCCCAAACCCCAAATCCCAAACCCTAAACCCCACACCCAAATCCCAAACCCCATACCCCAAATCCCAAACCTTAAACCCTGAACCCTAACCCCAAACCCCAAACCCTAACCCGAAACCCCAAACCCTAAACCCCAAACCCCAAACCCCAAACCCCACACCCCAAACCCCACACCCAAACCCCAAACCCCACACCCCAAACCCCACGCCCCAAACCCCACACCCAAACCCCAAACCCCAAACCCCAAATCCCAAATCCCAAACCCTGACCCTAACCCCAAACCCCAAACCCCAAATCCCAAATCCCTAAACCCCACACCCTAACCCCAAACCCCAAACCCTAACCCGAAGCCCTAAACCCCAAACCCTAAGCCCTAAACCCCAAACCCAAACCCGAAACCCCGAGATCGGGAGGGCCCCGGCCGCCGGCTCGTAAGTCAGAAGGACCTTTTGGTCGTTGGGAGAGCTCCTGGACCAGGGTTTAGGGTTTAGGGCTTTAGGGTTTTAGGGTTTTAGGGTGTTAGGGTTTTAGGGTTTAGGGTTTAGACGGTTTAGACGGTTTAGACGGTTTAGAGGGTTTAGACGGTTTAAACGGTTTAGACGGTTTAGACGGTTTAAACGGTTTAAACGGTTTAGGGTTTAGGGTTTAGGGTTTGGGGAGGAAGGCTTGCCGATGATGTTTCTGAGGGTGCGAAGGACTCGTGCATTTGGGAATGTTAGCATTATTTTTTGGTACAAAGGGTTTGTAGGTGTTTTCTTGAAGCTGTTGAGTTGCTGTTTCTTCATCTATGTTGAAAATAGAACCTGCGCAACCTGAAGCGCCAAAGCCCGAGCAAACCCGGCATCCTTGACGCTGCTAGCTCTGTTCTCTTGCGTTCGGGTTTGGGCTTTCGAAATTAGGCTTAACGTTGAAGTGCAACCGTTGAAGGTTGTAGGTTCTCCAGCGTATTGGTTGGGGGGGCGGCCAAGGCTTTTTAGGAAGGGTTTGAAGCTACAGTCTTCAAGGTTCAGGAGTGTGGGGAGTGAAAGTGAGTAAGCCTCAAACCATACACCCTAACCGGCGAACACTAGCAGTAGTAGTTAGAAGCAGTTTCAATGCTGTTCGTCCCTGATGGCAAGAGAAAGCGAGCTAAGTGACGGTCGCGGTCGCCGTCATCGTCGTCACAGTAGTATGCAGCAGCAACAACAGCAGCAGCAGCGCCAGGTGTAGTAGGAGTAGGAGCAGGAGTAGGAGCATGAGCCGGAGAAGCAGTAGGAGGCGTAGGAGTGCGAGTAGGAAAAGGAGTAGGAGAAGGAGTCCGAGTCGGAGTAGTAGCAGGAGTACAAGTAGCAGTCGTCGTCGTAGCGGCGTCGCGAAAGGTAGTTTGGTGGTAGTGGTCGTGGTCGCGGTCGTGGTCGTGGAAGTTGGAGTGGTAGTGCTAGTGGTAGTGCTAGTAGTAGCAGTAGTAGTAGTAGTCGTCGTCGTAGTAGTAGTAGTCGTCGTCGTCGTCGTCGTCGTCGTCGTCGTGGTAGTGGTGGTAGTAGTAGTGGTAATAGTATAGTAGTAGTAGTAGTAGTAG